TGTAGGAGACCCAGCTGGCGCCACAGGGAATTGCGTGGTGTAGGGAAAACCAACATCTGGTGACCAGCGGCGTCAGCGATGAGGGAAGTGTCTGTGTGAGTGTCCTGAAGGAGACACACAGGAGAGAAGCAGCAGGAAAGATCTGGGGGGCTGGTCTCCACAGAAGGATAAAGACTGGGTTTTCCCATACAGAGCGAGATGTCAAAGGCGGCGAATCAAAGAGGAAGAAAAAAAGAGAGGAAAAGAATCATGATCAGCAAAGAGTGAAGGAGGGACCGAAGAAAAAGGAGCCAGGCGGGGGAGAGAAGACAGATTCTCAAGCGTCTTCAAGGACTCGGGCCTCAATTCAGAAGAATGTTCCACATGGTCACTCCAATGGGCATAAGCTGCTTTCATGCTGACCCAGTCTGGCCAGAAAGCCACTGTCCCCTCACCCCTGTCCTCCCAGATTCAGGTCACAGGCAGCAAGCACTGACTGTCAGAGTGGGAAAGGACCCCAAAGCACATTCGGAGGTCTCGGTGGGGCCGCTGCTGCATTTTAGGTGGACTGGTTCTTTACTGGGATGGTCCTGAGCTCTGCAGGACATGTGCCGGCCCTGGCGCCCCAGAACCCCAGTGGGGCGCACCTTCTTCACTTCCCCTCCCACCGCATTTCTAACCCTTGTCCCCCAGAGGGCGCCCTGGCCCCTCGGTGAAGAAAGAGCTACAAGGGGACTGAGGCCCAGAGATGTGAAGCCGGACTTCACAGGCCTTTCCAGCGAGGGTCTCAATCTCCATCTCCCCGTCCCTTTCGGAAGCACGTCGTTCTGTGTGGAAGGCGCTTGAAACACTCCTCGGGCAGAGAGGACGGGAAAGGACTGGTGGGTGGGGATGGGGGTCCGGTTCCCTCCGGAGCCGGTCTCAGCTGACACGTGCCGCTCAGCTCCCTGTCCCAGTGACACGGACCCTCCCTTGCAGGAGGATCTTCAGACAAGTGCAAAAATAGAGGGGAATGCGGGGCTGGAAGCAGCTCCCGCCGAGGGAGGAGGGGGAGAGGCGCAGCCACTCAAGTCGCCCACACAGGTGGAGGGGACCCCGCTGCTGGCGGGCCTGTCGCCTGCTGTGGCATTTTCCACGCTCTGGGCCACTGCTACGCTGCATTACGACACCCAACACATTTAGAAATGACTTGATGGACTTAGGTCATGCTGAAATAATAACTAGCGGCGGAGTCACCAAGCCCTACGGCACCCTGACCGTGCTGGAGTGGGGTTCCCAGCGTTGGCGGAGTCATCGGGTCCTTACCAAAGGTGTCACCTCGTTTCCTTGCCCAAAGCAAGGTTACCTGGGGAAGGCCTGGTGGAGAAGGCCATGGTAGGAGGAAGAAGCTGCTTTTCTCCAGACACACCCCCAGGAGGCAGGGTGTTGGGGGGAAGCAGGGATCTGGGGCGGGGCTCGGGGCCTCAGTTCTCCCCATGGTCCCCACCTCTCACGGCCCCTCATGTTACCCTCAGTTCCTCCTCTCACCTCCTCCTCTTCCGACAGCCAGCCCCTGGGAACCCTTACCCAGCCCTGCAGCTCAGAGGTCGTGTAGGAGGACCTGTAACACCTCAACCCATTTTGAAACTTCAGCCAAGGTATTTGCCCTCTAGAGCAAAGAGAAAGGAAGGGCCGAGGGCTCTGCCCCCAGGAACAACCGTGGTCGCATTGCGTTTGCTCATTTAAATTGTCCACAGGAACCTACAAGCCACCTGGGCTCCCCACATTCCGGCCCATTGGGAGGAACCTGTGAAGGAAGGCTCCAGGAACGAGGGCTCAGCCCAGAGAACGGGCTGTGGGGGAGGGGCACGGGTCTGGGGTTCCGGGCTGGAGGCAGCCACCCTTCACCACTTTGGAAAAGGTTATTTTCACTGAACCATGAGCCATCACCTCTGTGCTCCGGGGGCCTCCTCGCTGCACAGAGGGAGGAGGGTGATGGAAGTGAACACCCATCTTCCAGCAGGGCTTCCTTCCCAAGGCCTCCAGTGACTGCTGTCCTCTCCCTAGTCTTTCTCCCCACCCCCAGGTCCTCGCCCTTGCTGCGGGTATGGGCGTGGCCATGGAGGAGGACTGAGAACAGGTTTTTCTACCTGGCCCCCAGGAGAATGAGCCCCTGGGCTCCTTCCAGAGGGACTTCAGTGTGGCCAAACCATTGGGACCAAGCTAGGGTCACACCCTCTAGCTTTACCTAAGCAACCTCATTATCTGAGCCCCTGAATCACACTTGATGGCCTCAGTTACCCCTCTCCGCAGACCTTGGTCTTGACATTCCATTATTTTTTAAGGCCAACCCCCCAATCAGTTCTCCCATCTGACTGACCAAACGGTGGCTCTCCAAGTGTGGTCCCTGGACCAGCCCATCAGCATCACCTGGAACTGGTTAGAGCACCACGTTCCCAGGCTGCACCAGACCTGCTGCATCCGAAACGCTGGGGGAGGCGCCGGGCACTTCGTTTAACAAGCCTGCAGGTGATTCTCTGCTTGTTTAAGTTTGAGGATTTGAGGACAGGGTTCTAGGACCCCTCCCTGTCTCCCCTGGGCCCTCTCTTCATCCAGTACTGATAACCTCTCGCCCTCACTCCCTCCAGATGACTCGGCCTCCTTCACCGGCAGGATGAGAACCATGGTACAGTCCACGCACTTCCTCCTCCTCCTCTACCTCAAGGCCTCCCTCATTTCCCCACTTCCTTTGCTCCTACCCTCTTAACAGCCGTCCTCCACTCGCCCTTCACACTCCTGTCCCAAGCTCACTCTCTGACTGTCCCTTTCAATCTCCTTTTCGGATTCTTCTTCCCCCAGCCTGCTCAGGGCCGTGACGTGTTCCCCTATCATTTCAACGGTCACTTCTAAGTAGACGGTTCTCATATCATCATCTCTGTTCCCCACCTTCCCCAAACTCCAGACTTGCATTTTCACCAGCATCTAGGACACTCCCCCTGGATGCCCAAGAAGCACCCCAAATTGTGCAATCCAAACTCAAAGACACCTTCTTCCTCCACTTTTCTCCAACCACCACCACCACCTAGCTTATCATCCTGTCTTTTGTCTGCACAACCAGTTCCTAAGATCTTATTGGCTTTGTCATCCCTGGCCAACCATGGTAATGTTTTCTGGTTTAAAATTTAACATGCCATGGACTGCAAAGTTCCTATGGGTCCAAGTAAAATGGATCCAATAGGAGTCGTCTTAAACGCCAACAGCTGTCATTCATTCTGTGCCTAAATCAGTCAGGCAGGGTGCTTAGGGTTTTGTGTGCTCTTGACCTGAGTCTACTTGAGGATAGAGCAGGCTTTGTGGATCGCTCAGCACTTGCTGAAGACCAGGAGCTCCTAAGGGAAGGACGTGTCCTTTGGGCACAAAGGATAATAAATCCGATTAGAAGGTCCCCTCCCCGTCTTCACCAGCAATCAGATTCCTATTTGTGGGTCACTCGCTCTATGCTAAATTTCCCTGTGGGGAGGGTTGACATGTCCACAGTCCTCTGAGACAACTGCTGCTTTGTTAGTGAAACCAATGAATGGATGTTTGAATCAGAAAAGAGATAGGGGTTGGGGTCAGGGTCAAGGGTGATGGTCAGCATCAGGGTCAGAGGCCATGGGAAAAAGGCTGAAAGTCATCCAGCTTCCTAAAAGGACAGACATATGACAAAGCCATCCTGATCTCCAGCTTCTCCTGCCATAGGACCACCCAACCCTCCCACTTTGTCATTTCTCCCCTTTCCAGCCCTGGACGCCCATCATTCTGGCCAAGACCTTCCTGGCTGTCGACCTGAGCCCTGGGATTGGCAGTGAGGCATGGAATGGAGACAAACAGGGAGCCTTCCTTGGCACTGACGATACTTTGTCCTGTCCTGTTCTTCCAAAGACAGAACCAACACTACCCTCCCTCACCTCCTTCCCAGAGTCAGGGGAGCTGGGTTCCAGCCCCCATCCATCGCTGACTCAGCTCAAATAACAAACCTGTTTTGCATTCTGGTTTCTTCACTGGAGAATGAAAATGTAAAGCCCTGCCTGGTCACTCTACAGGGTTGACGTGACAATAATAATATGCTTGTGTAAAAGTGCATCATTAACTAGTCGTTCTCATGACCTCTTCTAACGTGCTCCTGACAACACCTTGGGAGATAGGCAGGGAAAGCATGTTTGTCCTTAGTCAGAGGAGGAAACGAAGGCTCCAGAAGGATGTGCCCAGGCCACAGGCTAACACGCAGCAGAGCAAGGGCTCAACCGGGACCTCTGTGCCATGTGGTCCCAGCATGGTGAGGACCTCGGGGGACAGCACGCCGCTGCTGTTAATAAATGCATTATTTTCCCCAGTGTAATTATGGCCCGAATATCTGCCAGTGGCTTGTCACTGGTTACTTTGGGCACACTCAGCATCTCCAACCTGCCATTTCGTAAGTGGGTTGTGTTGACCCTACCAGTAGGCGTGGCCTCACTAGTCTCAGCGCGAAAACAAGGGAGAGTCGAGTCAGCCAAGGGCGATGATGAGCCTGTGGGTATTTCTGATGCCACCACCCAGGGAGGGTGACCACACTTTCTGCTGGGTACAGAGGGCTATAGGGTTTTAGGAAAGTTCATCAGTTCCAACAATCCCATTGGGTGAGAGAACTTAAGCCCAGAAAGGTGTCATGACATGCTTATGGTCACACAGCATCTCAGTAGCCAAGCTGGCTCCAGACCCCAGATTCTAATTCTAAGTCCTGTGTTCCTGCCCTGCTGCAGGATTCGGGGCTCTTCTCCATGCCAATAGTCTAGGGCTTTCCTTCCGCCTGTGTCTACAGCTGACCGTCAGCAGAGTAAGAGTAATAAGGGTGATGTGCATGGTGGACCCTTTTCCATAAGAGATGTCTCCTGAATGAGGAGTGGTCCTCTTGGAGAGCATTGTTTGGTTCAGATGCCAAGCCCAGGACACAGCTTTGTCCCTAGGGCCAGGACAACCCCACAGGTGTGTGTGTTGGGCCTTGAGGAAATACTACTCACGACTTATCTCGCCTGCCGAGCCGTCTTGGGGGGCTTGCCTGTCTCCTTCGGGGGGACAAGGATTTCCCCCGGCTTCTCACTTGGGTTGGAGAGTGGGCACTTGCAGGTTTCAGGATCTGAAGGAGATATGAGGAGTTAGCACACTGGTTTCTTTTTTAAAAAAATAAAAAAAAAAACATTGACACGAGAGAGACATGTCGACGGGTTGCCTGCTGCACGACCCCGACCAGGGCCAGGGACAAACTGCAACCGAGGTATATGCCGTTGGCTGGAATCGAACCCATGACTCTGGTCCAAGGGCTGATGCTCTAACTGCTGAGCAAACCGGCCAGGGCGGCACATGGTTCCTAACGGCCCCGGTCTTACGTCTTCCCACAGCATCCCAGCCCCCAGCCCACTCACAGTCCTCAGGTTCAGAAGGCCCTGGGCGGGAGACTTCCAGGAGCAGGCCTGAGACACAGATGTTCCCTCTCATCCTGCACTGACGAGAAGCAAAGGTACCACTTCCCAGGGGATGGTATGATGCCACCGTGCCCCCTTTACCACGGCACAGTGGAGCAGAGCCAGTGCCTCAGCCTCCTGGGGTAGCGTTTAGTTGCTCAGCAAGTTTCCCTCTTGTGAAGGCAAAGTCCCATCTACACTGCCCCAGAGATCAGCTTGTTCTTCCTTTGACTCTCCACCCCCAACACACAGCGTGGTTTCAATTTGTCAAGAATCTCCATCCCAGGCCCCCCAGAGTGAAGATGACAAGTCCCCATGTGCTAAACATAACCAAGCGTGAATCTGGATAAACCCTGTCCCCGCGGTCCTCAGAGCCCGCACAGGCCCTGGAGGGATAAGGGCAAGCGGGCACTGCGTCACATTGGAAGTGACATGGTAGAGGACGACAGGTTTGTGGGTACAGTTTATATAAAGCCAGAACAGTGCACGCTTCATTGTTTAGCACAGTGACACGAGGCCAGAATGTTTTGCCAAAGGGCTTTGCAACTTATCAAGCAAGGCAGAGATCAAGCCTCTGCGATAGGCTGTGAAACTGGTGACCCACTCACTCATCTGGTTTGCCCAGGACTTACCTGATTAATTTTTTTAAAATTGATTTGGGGGAGGGAGGGAGAGAGAGAGATTTGTTGTTCCACTCATTTATGCATTCACTGGTTGATTCTTGTATGTGCCCTGACTGGGGATCAACCCGCCACCTTGGTGTATAGTGACGATGCCCCAACCAACTGGCTACTGGCCAGGGCAGGACTTCCCTGGTTTTAAGTATTGAAAATCTCATATGCTGGGAAACCCTTCAGTTCCTGGGAACCGGGATGATTGGCCACTCTATTACAAAGACAAAACAGAACAGAACTACAGCCTTAGTATAAAACGACTAGCATTTTAGCTGAATTTTTTATAACAGCTTACATGAGTTGCCATTTATTTTATTTATTTATTGGTACGTGCCCCTAGCGGGAACTGAACCCAGGACTCTCTGGTCCACAGGCTAACGCTACAACCACTGAACCAAACTGGCTGGGGATTTAAAACGACTAGCATTTTAGATTGATTTCATAGAAGGAACTGCAGACCAAGACAGTGATTTAACTGTAACACCTAAGCTGACTCGACCTCTTGTTTTTGAAGTGGTATATGCAGAAGAGGCTTGAATTGTCCGTGTCAGTAGCAAAAGCCTTCTTTTTTTAAATAGGGTAGCTACCAAGCAAGATGGTCTCGAGAAACTTTTGACCATCCCAGAAATGTGGGACATGGGGCAAGAGGGGGTGGGGAAACAGAGAGACAGAGAGAGAGAGACAAAGAGAAAGAGAGAGACAAAGAGAGAGAGAGAGAGAGAGACAGAGAGAGAGAGACAGAGAGAGAGAGAGAGAGAGAGAGAGAGCGCCTGCACTCATGCCTCGCTTGTTGGCCTTCCCAGCACCTACCTTCATTCTCATGTCCCTGGCATATTTCTCCAGCTCCTTCCTTATGTCAGCCCTCAACATCTTTGAGACATTGAGGACCAGCTGCTTCCACTCAATGGGCTGGAAGCTATGAGGCTCGTGGGGGACGTATAGCCCAATCTTGACCTTCTTGACTGTGTGCAGGTATTTCTTGTAGGAGTCTTCAAAGTCAAAGATAAGGTCACTCAGAGTCCGAAAGGTCAGCGGCTTGTCCATCAGCTCAGCCCTTCGGCTCATGCCCAGCGAGCCATAGCGGCCATTGCAATAAATCCCCAGCACAACGTGGTGAAAGTAGTTTCCTGAGAAGTAGGTTTTAAAGCTGATGGGGAATCGCTCGATGGAAGGCTGTCCATTGGTTAAATATCTTAGATAATCTGAGTCAAGGAAGAGAAAGGAGGCCTTGAAAATTCACAGAGCTTGGACTCCCAGGCAGGGAAAGTGGCCCATGGGGTCGGTCCATCCCTCCGCCTCTGAGCAGACGAATCCTCTTTTAAAGGAGTCACTCGCTGTCTCCGAGTATCTACTGTGAGATGCACCCAAACCAAATTAATGTGGGACAAAGAGTAGAACTGTGCCATTTTCTTTAGTGATTAAATATATGCAAAAGAAAACAACAAGGTACTTTTTCCTCCCTCGGTTTTCTACAGGGGATGACAAGACTTTAGAGGGTTTCTCACGCCAACAGAATGACGTTCTCAGGCATTCGTTCTGGCTGGAGTATGTGGGACAGACCAGGAACTAAAGGCCTCTGCAATGTTCGGGGGGAAATGACAACTAGAATGAAGGCGACATGGAAAAGAGACAGACTGGCTGATGAACTAGATGGAACGGACAGAAAGGTGTCAGAAGGGGTCATATGCACACCTCGTCTGCTCCTCTCTCTGGTCCGGTGCTAGCAGTGCCGGCAGCCTTGGGGACCACAAAGAAAACTCCCCTCAGTCCCCAACCCACTTGGCATCACAGCTCGGCTCTCTTCACACACTGGCCCATTCCGATGGAGGGACCCAGCCTCTCAGTTTGGGCTCAGGAACCCTGCAGGGTGCAGCTTCAAGAAACTGCCCCACTGACTCCACATTCTGGAACAATGGACAAGAGGCACCACGTCCTCAAGTCCATGTCCAAGTCACTGGACCACCCTGGCGAGGCCATGGAGACCCAAGGACCCAGCCTTTAAGGAGAGGGATACTGGAATCCCATAAAGTCACTCTTCCGCTGAGCATCTTTGGTGACCCCAGGGTGCTCCTCAGGTCGGTAACAACCCAGGTGCCCAGCACCGCAGCCTGTGCGTGATAAGGTTCAGGAGTGGGGACAGTTTTCCACGCTCTAGAATTTGTCTTCACCGTTTCTTACCCTCCCCCCCCCCCAGTGTACTTTCTACACAGAGGCCAGAATGATCTATCGAAACCAAAATTTGGTACATGTCACTCTTCTGCTTAAGTTTTCAGTGATTATCATCATCTCCAGGATGTGCACCAAATCCCTTAGCAACGTCCTGCCACAGTGTGGTCCCTGCTGGTCATTCCTTTGTACAGTCAAATTTTCCCTACACCCTGGACTAGCACCTTGACCTACAGCAGACCCGTGAGACTACAATGAACACACAGATCTGTGCCCACTACTCTCGGCATATATATCCCCTTCCTGTAGTATGAAGTCAAATATAACTAAAAAATCGAAAGCTTTTTAAATGACTTGTACATTACCAAGCCACGAGGCCAAAGTGATCTACAAAACTTTCAAAAACCTGCTACTAAACACATGTGACATGATGTCCCTACTGTTGACAAAGTCTTTTATGCCTTCACTCACGCATCAGCCTCACGGAATGAGGGACTCAGACCTGGCAGAGATGTTCGGTGTCTCCTAAGAATCCCGAGCGACAAGGCTGCTGTGAGCTCACACAGCCTGCACCCCTGGGAACCTCATTACTATCCCTTCCCCCTTCCCGGGGGCGACAGCTTCCCTGACCTTCCTCAGCCAGGGTTAGGTGTTCCCCCGCCCCACCCCCAAGAACTCCCAGAGACCTTGTGGGTTATTCCTACAGCATTCTCGTTGTCTGTCTGTATGTGGTGAGGGCAGGAGTTGTGTTGGGCATCCTGGTGCCCCTCCCTGGCACAGTGCACACTGGGCACACAAAGTGCTTGCTGAAAAAAGGAACCCTACATGTCAGAGGGCCGCACTCAGTGGGGGGCTGACTCGGGTACCCTTAAAAGAAAGAAGATGGTAGAACTCAGCCCACAGCCCTGAGGTCAGCCTTGTCTGCTGCCCTCAATTTGATCACGAAGGGCTCCTCTCTCTAAAAATGAGTTCTCCTGCTTTCTCTTCACTTCATCATGTGAGATTATCTGGCAGTCAGGGAGTGAAATCACATCCTTCTGGGTCCTGTTACATAAATTCGTTCTTGCTTTCTGGGGCGAGTTCTCTGGGCTAGCCTAAGGGCATCGCTCCGTGTAAGTGGGTGCAACAACATGGAGGGAGATCCTCCCGGCCAGACAGCCTGCTGGGCAGGGCTGTGGGGCCAAAGAGGAAGAACGCGGCCTTCTCTGGAAGTCTGGTGGGGAGACAGATTCAAAGGGACACGATGTGGTCAGGATGGCAAACCCGCATAAAGAAACTAGACGTAGATTTTCCATACGATCCAGCAATTCCACTTCTGGGTCCATACCCAGAAGAATGAGAAGCAGGGGCTAGAACAGATATCTGCATACCTGTGTTCAGAGCAGCATTATTCACAATTGCCAAAAGGTGGAGACAACCAAGTGTCCGTGGATGGATGGATGAATGGATAAACAATGGATACACATATAATGGAATATTACTCAGCCTTAAACGAGAAGATAATTCTACAGGGGCTGGGTGGAGATAGGTAAGGGGGGGGAAATGGGGAACATCTGTAATAGTGTCAACAATACTTTTTAAAGGAGAAGATAATTCAACTTCAACTTCATCATGAATAACGCAGTAACTATCTGGACCAGGAAGTTCACGGCCAACAGACTACTTTAGTGGAAACAAATGGTCACTGATGGATGTCCTTTACCCTGGGAAGGCAACAGTACCCAAGACGGAAAATCTAGCCAAAATGTGTAAGACTACACCAGATGTCATCTTTGTGTTTGGATTCAGAACCCATTTTGGTGGTGGCAAGACAACTGACTTTGGCATGATTTATTATTCCTTGGATTACACACACACAAAAGAGCCCAAACATAGACTTGCAAGACATAGCCTGTAGGAGAAGACGACCTGAAGGAAACAGGAAGGAACGCAGGAACAGAAGAAACAGAGGGGGACTGCAAAGGCCAATGTGGGTGCTGTCAAGAAGGAGGAGTGAAGAGTCTTCAGTGACTTTATCTGTGGTGATTGTGCAGACTTTTCACGAGCAGATTAATAAACTAAGAACTTAAAAAAAGGAAAAATATAATTCTGACACGTGCTATGACATGGAGGAATCTATGCTAAGTGCAGTGAGCCAGTCACAAAAGGACAGATGCGGTATAACCCCACTTGTGTGAGGCACCTGTAATAGTGAAATTCATAGAGACAAAAAGTGGAATGATCATGGCCAAGGGCTGGGCAGAGGGGCGTGGGGCTCGCTGTTTAACAGGTATGCTATCTCAGTTGGGGGAGGTGAATTTCTGGGGGTGCACAGTGGTGACGGCTACACAAAAAGGCGAATGTTCTCAATGCCACTGAGCTGTGCACCCAAAAATAAAGTGGTAGCCCCGGCCTGGTGGCCCCGTTGGTTGAAGCATCATCCCGTACACCCAAAAGGTTGTGGGTTTGATCCCTGGTTGGGGCACACACAGGAGGCAGGCAACCAACCGATGTTTCTCACATCAATGTTTCTCTCTCTCTCATATCAATAAACATTTCCTCGAGTGAGAATTTTAAAAAATGTTTAATGAAATGATAAATTTATATTATGAATATTTTACCTCAATTTTTAAAAACCCACATTTAAGCCTGGCCAGTGTGGCTCAGAAGTTGAGTGTCAACCCATGTGCTAAGGGGTTGCCAGTTCGATTCCCGGTCAGGGCACATACTTGGGTTGTGGGCCCAACCCCCAGTAGGGGGCATGCAGGAGGCAGCCAATTGATGTTCTCTCTCATTGATGTTTCTTTTTTTTTTTTTTTTAATATTTTTTCTTTATTGATTTGAGAGAGAGAAGAAGGGAGAGGGAGAGAGACAGAAACACTGATGAGAGAGAACATCGACTGGCCGCCTCCTGCACACCCCCCACTGGGGATAGGGCCCTCAGCCCGACCATGAGCTCTCAGCAATGTTTCTACCTCTCTCTCCTTCTCCCTTCCTCACTCTCTAAAAATCAATCAATCAATCAATAAATAAATAACCCACATTTGGCCCTGGCTGGTTGCTCAGTGGTTAAAGCGTTGGCCCATGGACCAAAGAGTTGCGGGTTCGATTCTGGTCAAGGGCACATACCTCGGTTGCAGTTCAATCCCTGGCCCTGGTTGGGGTCGTGTGGGAGGCAACCAGTCGATGTGTCTCTCTCACATTGATGTTTTCCTCTCTCTCTCTCTCCCCCCTTCACTCCCTCCCCTTTACTCTATCTAAAGATAAATGGAAAAAATATCCTCGAGTGAGGATTAAAAACAAAAAAACAACCCCACTTTCACAACATACATATATCATGTCATGATGCTATACACCTTAAACTGACACAGTCCTGAGATGTCAATTACATCTCAATAAAACTAAAAAAAACCCCCACAATGTGATGTGTGCTGTAAGAGACAAGCCCAGCGATGTAAGGGAGAGCAGATGCCCCAAAATTAGTCTTATGGGACAAGTAGAGTCAGCCACGTGGAGGAGTGGGGAGGGGACAGGAGAGATCAGCAATCCATCCTGTCACAAGTCACTGATCTCTAGGATGTCCCATCATTAGGTCATCAGTGAAGCCTTGGGTCCTGGAAGAGCTGGGAACCCAGGGGGAGGGGACAAGGAAGTTGGATGAGGGCAGGGAGGCAGCCTGAGCTTTGCCAGGAAAGAGGGAACAGCAGGGCACCAAGCCCCTGGAACAGGTGCCCAGCATCCAGCCTGCTGGGGATGTGCCCAACATGCCTCTACTAATGAACCGTTGCTTAAACAAACCATAGTACTTCAGTGCCATACTTAAGCCTCACCAGGGCCAGCAAGGGCCCCCAAAGAGCTGCCATTATTCAAAAAGCAATTTGGAACCAAATGGCTATCACTGCAGCATGCACGTGAAAAATGCACACGCGCTCAAGCAAGACGAAAAAGGTGGCCCTTTGGGAACGAATCCTGAATTCTGGGCTAGGAGGCAGGAGACAAGGAGGAGGACATCGGCTTCCAAGCAGCAGCCACGCTTGTCAAGGTGCCGATGCTCCTCAGGACCTGTGGGGAAGGGGGGAGGCTGTGGAGGCACAGACAGATGACCCAAGTCCTGTCCTTCACCACGCCCGAGAAGAAAGCAGGCCACAGGGATGCTGACACAGCGAAGAGCAAGACAAAGATGCTGTAACTTTTAGAATTCAGGTCCATGTTTCTTGTCTGTGTCCAAGAGTCAAATTTCCCTGAGTTCGGCAGTGTGAGCAGACTTTTTCCACCCTCCCTACACTTTCTTGAAATGTTGCACCGGCGGGAACCAAGGAAAACCAAGAGCACACTCTCCTCGGACAGGGACAGGCCAGAGGCTTGTCACAGGTCTCGTCCCACGATCCCAAAAGTTTTAGGTAATTCCTGTAACTTAACGTAAGGCTCACATTGATAAATTTGCACAGGGACAAGACTGTTGTGTGCATGACTATTGCCGAGCACGGTGGCCTCCGTCCAGGTACACTCAGACATCCATCAGCAGATGGTCTGAAGTGAACGGTCCCACCCAGCGAAGGGCCTGGCTTGTGATCTCTTCTCGGATCTCCACCAGCAAATCCCCGACAATTGTTCACCCCCATTAAGCTTGCAGGAGGCTCTGCCCAACAGCTGTGCTGACTCTTGCCACAGAAGGAGTGGGCCCCGAGCCATCTGCTGCCCCTGCCCTTCCTGTGCTGCCTGCCTGCTGGGCTCCCCAGGCACCGCTTCATCTCCGTGAGGGGCAGGGAAGAGGTCTGTCAGGGGGCTGGGGAGGGGTTTCAGTAAGGCTCAAGTTTCCACTTTGGAAATGTCAGCCGGGGGACCCTGCGGACAGTCTTGTTTCAGACCAGGCCTGCCGTGCTCTGCAGTCTGCAGAGGCGGAGAAAGTTCCTTTTCCATAAAAATGTCCAGGAGCCCAGAAAGCAGACAGGGCCTGTCCCCCTGTCCCCAGTCTGATTCGGAGCCACCCATCCTTCTGCTGATTTCTGTATCTTCCTTTCCTGGTTTTCCTTCTACCTCTTGAGCTGTCCTTCTTAGTGTCACATATGGGCTCTTAGTGTCAACTGGACCAAAATACAGTGAGATTTCCTCCTTGAGCTCTCTCTCTTCTCAGTCCGCGGACACACAGCTCTCGGGTCGGTATTTCCAGCACAGAGCCCCACAGACCCGCCTGACATCCCACGGGCACCTCAAATTCAACAGGTCCAAACCGGAACTCGTCTCCCCCTAAGTCTGATCCTCCTTGTGAAGTCCTGCCCTTGGACTGGCGCCGTATTATCCCATCACCCAATTTTCCCAGCCAGAAATGTGGAGTCCCCCCTCTTTCTCCTCTGCCTCCTCACATCCGATCAGCTCACAGTGGTGTGGATGACACACCCAAGGCCTCCCCTCACCCCCATTGCTGCCTAGTCCACATCTGTGCTGACCTGTCTCACCCTCCAGCCCACCCCGCACAGGCTGTCGCTTAATCCAGAAGCCTGTATTTGTTGATCCCCCTTCCTCATCAACTTCTCCACCCGGCTGGCCTCCAAGCCCTGTAAATTCTACCCCCTTCATCTCTCTTGAAACTGTCCCTCCATTCCATTCCCATTGCAGGACCATGGTCCTAGCAGGGCCATTTCCCTCATGTAACAGCCCCTCCCCGGCCCTGCAGATGCAGCCCCAGCCTTCTCCAGTCTGCCCTGCACTCCGCCCTCAGGATGACCTCTGTGGAGCACACTCCTGACCATGCCCCACCTCTGCCCCAGAGCTTTCAGCCGGGCTGCCCACCGCCCTGGTGAAAAAGGCCCCCCTTCTCAGCGCAGCACCCCAAGACCTAGCTGGTCTTACTGGGGACCACCTCTCAAGCCCATGTCTTGCCGTGTTCTCTTGGTCGGTCCCTTCTAGCCATCATCCAGAGAACTGGGAGTTTCCCTGCTCTTCGATCAGATCCTGTTCTACCGCCATCACCACTGATAAGTCAGTGCCAGCAGTTTTCTGAACCGTATTCAGCTGAGGAGTCTGGGGAAAACGGAACAGAAAGCGTGAGAGGGACCAAACTTTTGTTTCAGCTCCGTGTTCTGTAGAGTCAGGACACCACACCATTACATGGTCTCCTCCTCAACCCACTCTTATAATTTTCCCTGGAGATGAGTTTGAAGGACCCCATTGCCCCTCGAGTGCCTTTCTGTTGCAATGCTAGATGAATGCAAAAATCAACGGTGCACTCTCCTGTTAGAATTCTCCTGTGACTAGCGATGCTGGCCTGAGCACTAGCCCTGAAGCAGACTTTAGGTAACAGGTTACACTGACGATGGTCTAAGGAGCCAAGCTCTGATTTGGTTCAACTCCAGATGGTAGAAGTTGAAGAGAAACATTAGGGAAGCTTGATACTTTCCTCCAAGGAGACCATGGCCATCATCTCTGTGGATGTAGGACATTAAAGGCACAACCAGCCCCAGAGTGAGACCACCATCTATGGAGTAAACTTAAGCAAACATAACTTAAAGGATACATGCCCAGGATGACAGCTTCAAGGCATTTAATAGGCAAGGACTCTCGAGTCATTTCTTTCGCTGTTTCCATTAACCTGTAGGATAGAGCACAGCAAAGGGTCTCAGGACTTATTTAATGATGCAACTGGTCTGTCTGTCAGTCCATCAGCATGCCTGTCTCCACACTAGGCACCATGCAGGAATACAGAGGGAAAGGGGAGAACTCGTTTTGCAGAAAGGTGCCAAAGCACATGCATACTGGCAGAAATAAATTCTAAGTTCTCCACTCCTCTCTCCAAGACCTAGTTCCTGGATGTTAGTGCCCATATTCCACAGCATCCGCCCCTTGCCCCAGGACTAGGGGCATTACTTGGAGCAAGCAAAGGAGGCCACAGGAAACACATTTCATAGGCCTCCCCCATTCCCTGAACAAGTTAGTCTTCACCAACGAGCTTAGCTGTCAGAGTGGTTCAGACCCCAGCCCCACCTCCAACATGGCCCTGGGGCACCCCCTATCTCCACCCCTTACAGATCAGGATATTGAGCATTGGGTTACAGGCATAGAGGGTGGCAGAGGGAGTTAGCAGCTCTCAGGTAGGAAAGATACCACCTGGCCCACAGATCATGCACCACTTACCCACTCAGTGGTCTCATTTTTCTAATTTCAAAGAACTGGGTCCCTGTATGATTGTATCTGTGTGAAGTATGTAAAGGGAAAGTAAGAGAAAACTCCAAAGGTCCCAGGAATCAGCAGAGGGAGCTATGCATTGGTTTCACGATGAGATGAGGAAGTGAGAACTTTCCAGAAGGTGTCCAGTAGCCAGAAGGTAATGAACATCCTCTAACTCTTCATGGTCCTACCTTGAAATTTAACTGCTAACGTAGGCCCCAAAGCACTTTGGACCTTTAGAACAGCCATATTCAATCTGCTCTGTATTCTGGTTAGTTGAATAGATGTCTTAATTCATCTGCTAGACTACAAGTTCTTTGAAAGTTGGGATCATTTATTTATCATTTTTCTATCAACCATAGAGCCCAGCACAAGCCCAACGTATTCCAGCTAGCAAATGTTACAACTGAGTGAGGAATAAGTGAATGGATGGTTGGACAGATGGATGTGTAAACAGATGGATACATGGGTGGAAGGGTAGTTGGATGGATGATGGATTCGTGGATGGATGGATGGATGGATGGATGAATGGATAGGTGAATGGATGGAAGGAAGGAAGGAAGGAAGGAAGGAAGGCAGGAAGGAAGGAAGGAAGGAAGGAACTGATGAATGGAAGGGTAGATGTTGGAAGGCTGAATGGCTGGCTGGATAGATAGAAGGGTAGGTGGATGGGTGGCTGGCTGGCTGGATAGATGGATGAATGAATGATGGAAGGGATGGATGGAATGGTGACATATAGAAGAGTAGATGGATGGCAGTGGGGTTTCTCAGTAGCACAGACTGCAGCAGAGCTTACTAGGGAGACATCACTTTCATTTTATGCCTTAACTGACACTTACATTGACTACTAAATGAGAGAAGATGACATTACCCACAACCTTGGATTTAGCTGGTTGTCCAGGAGGTCTCAGGAACTGGAGAGCCTGCACTAGGTCATTCTGAAGGAGACCAACGATTCCCTAATGTCATGCTCTCTTCTCTGAGACTGGATCTGGATGTTTCTGAGGCTAAAGAAAGGCTTTGTGCATTCCCCTATCCTGCCTCAAACAAAATCCTATAAAATCTGTGCACACTGGGAAGTTGCTAACGAAGGATCAACTTGCAACCCAGATATGGGCCACTACTGCGGTGAAGGCAGCTGCAGGGGTGGTGCCGAACCCTGAAAGGCACTGCACACCCTCCAGCACAGATGTGCTTGGCCACTCAGACATGAGCACACATGACAACCACCTGAAGAGTTCATTATCAGCACATCCTGGTCTCCATCTCTGGAGATTGATTTCAGGTCATAATTTTAACTGCCTGCCATTCAGAGTCACCTCATCTTGGACTGCTGACTTGGAAGTTCCAGGGTGAGGGCGAGGGGCTGATCTGAACAAGCACACAGTTTGGGAATTACTGGCATAGACGTAAGAATAACCAATAACAATACAGGCTTGCTTAGCTTTAAAAAATAATAATATACAGCCTGGCTGGTGTGGCTCAGTGGTTGAGCGTCGACCCATGCACCAAGAGGTCACTGGTTCAATTCCCGGTCAGGGCACATGCCCAGGTTGTGGCCCTGATCCTCAGTGGGGGGCATGCAGGAGGCGGCCAGTGGATGTTCTGTCTCCTCAATGTTTCTATCTCTATCTCCCTCTCCCTTCCTCTCTCTCTAAAAATCAATACAGAAAATAATAAAATAAAATACAAAACCCTAGAGGTGAAAGAAAAAAAATCTATTCTCATTGTGAGGTGTTCTGTTACTTTACTAACGATGTCCTTCAGTGAGATTCTGGTATATATAAAGTAGAATTCAACCGGCAAAATACAATGCATATGCCCAGCTTTGCCCGTTTGTATATCTAAGTTTATACATCTAGTGCATAAAGTAAGACAAACCTATAATAAAATCAGGGAAATTACTTGGCCATCTTTTCTCAGTCCCTGACAGTTACCAGCTCCTGCAGTGAGCTGGGGAGGAAGCTTCGGGGAGCCTCGCAGACCAGGTCCACTCTCGCAGCGCGCAGAACCCCATGCTCCGTCAGCACTCCCGTGGGCCACGCTCTGAGGCTGTCAGGGAAGGCAGGACCTGTCCTTCCACCAGGGCTGGCCCCAAGGGGTCCCCTTACTCTCGCAATGGTCGCCCTCTTCAGGAGAAAGTGGTAGGAATCCCAAGGAACTAAGTGGAGGTCTGGTCGGAAGGTAGAGCACACAGGCCATACTCTGCTTTCTCGGCGTGGTGGCTCCAGCGGCCAGGTGACAGGGAGCACGGGCCAGCCGCCTGCAGGTGCTCTTGCTTCTCCAGCCCCCTCTGCAGGCAGCGGTCTGGGCAGTGAGCACCACGATGCATCAAAGAAGGAGGAGGCAGCCCCTTCAGAGCACAGCGAGAACCCGGCTGCGGTGCCGCAGGGTCCGCCAGACACGCAAACGTACCGCCGGTGCATTCCCACCACCTCTGGTCACATGATCCCTGCAAGACCATATCCTTGATAGAAGTGGAGAGCCATTCGAATTCCTGCCACCTTCTAGAATGTGGTGTGAGGAGTCAGTCACATCCAGGAAGGCTCAGCTCTCGGGGTCCAGTTCCACCCTGGCACGAGTCTATGCTCTGGACCACACGAAGCTCCCCAGGTGGGGTCCCAGTGTGGGGATCGGCACGGCACCAGCTGCCTGCCTCACCCTGGAGGCTGATGCTACCTTCTGCCTCTAGTATCGCTTCAGGATTCCACTGGGAAGAGGCCATGTAGGGAAGCTCCTAATCTGTAAAGTGGGAACTGAGAGGCTGATCAAGTAATCTGCCTGTCCAAAGCAGCAGAGCTGGTATTATTCCCATCTGGTAGTACCTGTCCTTCAGGGAAGCCATAAAAATCCATAGGAAAGATTCCTGCGTCTAGCACAGAGAGGAGGGGCCTCTCCCAGGGCACGAGAGACATCGCTCGGTGCCCTGTGAAATCCTTTCTGCTAAGTCCTAGGTCTTTGGGGAGGAAGGACAGAGGTCAGCAGAGGCTTGACTTTCTGGACAATGTGCTGGAGGTCTGTAGGGAGGCTGATGCTGGCTTAGCTCTGTGATGCTACTGACTTGCTTGGGCAAATGGCCCGTCCCTCTCATATACCCCTCTGCCAGCCCAGCCCCCACCTGACTCCTGTCCCTGGTAACACACCAGAGCAGCCCTTGGCCCATCCGCCTGTGCCCCTTTGTCCGGACAGTGTTGCTCCTGAGACCCTCAGAACTGCTCTACTCCTGACTGCAGACAACCTGAGGACCCTGGAGGAGTCCAGTCTGGACCCAGTCTGGACCCACAGGATCCTCAACTCTTCTTCAAGCTCAAGTGAGGGGAGAGGGCCCCCACCCAGAGCCCCATCCATTCATGCGGAACGGAGCAAAGCCACCAGTCTGGACCACCTGGGGAGACAAAGGCAGGCCAGGTGGGCCTCTGGTAGAGTATGAGCTGTCAGGATGAAGGCAAAAGGTGAGAAAAGAAAGAAAAGGAACGGAAAACTAGGAGGGAAGAGGGAGAAAAAAGACTAGAGGAAGAGAGGAGGGAAAGATGACTGAGGAGGCGGCGGTGGAGAGAGATGAAAGGCAGGGGGCTCGAGGTGGCCCGCCGCTGCCTGTCTGCCTTCTTGCCATCCTGGCCCACATCCTGCTTAAAAGGGAGGAGGGTCTGATCATTGCAATTCCATCTCTGTTATCACTCCTGGACTCTCACATAGGGGCAGCCCTCCATGCCCGGCCTCACCAACCTTACAGAGCATTTGCTGACCAGCTGGGGACAGACATGCCACCAGGCTTGCAGTTACCATGCCCATCCCCTGCTGGGTCTGCTCAGACCCCGGTTGGAAGGATACTGTAGTGTCTTCATGTAATTCTGAATTGCCTGGAGCCAGTCTGGTATAGTCATCGACAGCCTGTAGTTTGGAACCTGGGGCACTGAAGGCTGCAGAGAAAGTAGAGAGAGATCTGTTGGTCAAGTGCTCCGGAGCCCAGTGCGTGGGGCAGGCACAGGGCCGAGACCACTGAGAGCTGCTCCTGGGAGCAGACGGCCACCCTGCCGGGTCACCTGTTCAAGTGGGACCTCCTGGACAAGGTTTCCCCACACCAGTCGGACCCTTGCTGAAGTCCTCCCTCTCTGCACTCCCTCTATACACACTGCACCGTGGGTCACAGTGACTCTCTATGGGCCTCTGTGTGTTGTGAGTGCGAACACAGCCAGCTCCCCAGGGAGCCTCAGCCACTCACTGAGGCCAAGGACCATGTCCTACAGTGCCCCCCGCTGAGCCTGGCCCAGCAGGATCGCAGAGGTGCTCCACTGATCTTCACATGTTTACTGCATGACTACACCTTTTACTGCATGGTTGGTGTGAGCTCTTAGATGTGCCCCACTCCAGGGCACCGCTGCACACAAGATGCATGGTGCCCTGAAGAAATGCAACATGGCACCATGGCCACCGTTCTCCTCCACACTACCCCCTGCAGTGCCCATCGCCTCCGTTCCCCGAGTCTGGGCCCAAATGGATTCGGAAAGACTCCCCTCTTGCCTTGCCTCTTCCTGGGTAAGGGCAGCACCTCTGACTCATGAGCCAGCTCACCCTCTGCCCTCACGGCTGCCCAGTCACCTCTTCATTTCCTAGTCTGCCTCTTGGTCAACACTCAAGTGTCTACAAGTCCTGTAGGGAAGAGTTCCAAGCCCTGCAGGGGAGAGAAAGGAGCGATGGCCGGCAAGGACGAGAGAGGGAGGCAGGCACCTCGCCTCAGGACTCAGAGCTCAGACGCCACTCAGTGCTGAGCAGGCTGCCCACGAGGCCTGCGTGGGGACCAGCCAGGCTTCCAATCCATCACTTCTGGGAAGCGAGGGACAGTTTTGGCTTTATCCTCTCTAAATGTTTCTCAGTCTCTTATCCTCGGCCTCTCTGGTGGGGCAGGCCGGGGGACAGGGACACTGGCCCAGCAGTGCATGGTCAGGAAGGACAGAGGCGGCTTCCCCAAGCCTGAGCGCTCAGGGAGGAGCAGAGGGGCCCAGGGCAGACTAGTTGCATCCTGGGAGAAAACAGGGAAGGGCAAGCCCTGGGGATGTAGGGCTGAGCTGATGGACAGGCTGGGCAGCCTGGCTGGGCACCAGTGCTCTCCCTGCTAGCTGGGGCCAGGCCCCACAGCGAACCCAGGGCACAGGGCCCTGGGCCTGGGGCGGGTGGGAGGAGCAGGGGTGGAGGGGGGTTGCTCATCCTCTACACCCCCGCTGCACTGACGGGAAATGCCTCTTGCCATGCTTCTCCTCTCTGCGCCTCCAGCCTCCCTCTCGCTTGGCTTTGAGACTTCCTGCTTCACAGCCACTGCCCCTCCCCAGGAAGGGACCAGTCCCACGTCCATGTCACAGCCAGGCTGTGTGTGTGAAGGGGCGCGTGCCGCACACAACACGCAGATGCTCTGCGAACCGCACTTCGAGTGCAACTATCCGCTCACATTCCTGCCCTGGAGAGTCATCTCCGGAGCAAATGATCCAAACGAAGCGTTTTCTCCCCTGCCCCCTCCCCCCCACACACAGAGTCATAAAATGAAGTGCACCTTTGTGTTTCTGCCCTAACAAACACCAGGAAGTGCGCAGCTTGTCCTTGTGTTTGTGTAAAAACACCCACTGACCTACCCAAGCCGGAATTCTGTGTGAGAACGTGCCAGAACCGTCGCAGAGGAGCCGAGAGGATGGGAGATGCGCACACCTCCCATGACCAGCTTTTTAATAGAAAAGCTGTAAGCACAGGGACATGTCCCATAGACACACTGGCCACCTAGGGGATCCCCAGAGGGGCATCTGTTGGCCACCACCCTGAGGTGGCCAGAGTGACTGGGCTCAGAGTCAGCCACGGGGGCCAACCACCAAATAAATGATTTCAATGCCAGCAAGCTCAGCAGAGCCCACAAGAGCCGGGCGATGGGGTGGGGATCAGGCAGCAGCTGGTCCTCAGAATAGCAGCTCAGTGGCGCCCAAGGGCTTTTAAAAAAACAGCTGCCTGGTTACCTCAGCCCCTGCTGAGAGCAAGTGGCCACATTCCCCGAACCCCAGCTGGGGAGCAGAGCTGTGGTGGGGAAAGGGGCCGAGGCTGCTGAGGGGATGATGTCATCTGGCTACAACTCACTCTGACATCTGGGAGACCTGACTGCGGCGCAGGCTGGGACTCAACTCCCAGCCAGCCCCTCGGGCTGCCAATACCCCCACAGGACGAGGGACTATCAACCAGGTGGGCTCCTTCAGGTGCGACTGCCCCTCCAACACTCACATTCGCGTCCCTGCTGTCACATGCGAACTGTCAAGCGCATGACCGCTCTAGAGCCTGTTTCCCTCCTGATAAAATAGGAGAATCTCAGCTACTTCAAACCTTCTGGGCTGCTTCTGAGGATCACATGACCTATGTGTACAGCAGGGAACTCAGGCTTGACTCTGGTGCTCTCTAAGTGTTAGCCGTGTTAATGTTCGTCTGAAGTGTGTCTTCAGGGGCAGAGAATGGGGAAGCTGACGTGTCCTCAGGAACTGGAAAACAATCAGCAGTGCCGGAGTCCCCGAGCCCTCGGAAGCATCACTACGCTGCCTTCTCACCCTAATAAAAGAGGATGAAACCACCCACTTCCCCCTGTAACAGTGACTTCATCTCCTTAATTCAGGAAGCGTTCACACAAAGTGATAAGGAAACTATTGAGGCCTCCAAAAAAAAAAATGGCCCCAAAAGGTGGAAGCAAACCAAGTGTCCATTGAGACATGAATGAAGAAAGAAAAAGATGTATGTACACACAACGGAATATTATTCAGCCATAAAAAAGGAAGGGCATTTGGACATACGCCACAACAGGGACGAACCTTGAAGACCTTATGCTGAGTGAAATAATTCCATCACAAATAGTGTGCAATTCCTCTTATATGAGGTTCCTAGAGTGTCAAATGCATAGAGACAGAAAATTAGGAGGAAGGGTGGTTGCCAGGAACTGGGGATAGGAGGAAGAAATGGGGAGTTATCATTGAAGAGGTACAGAGTTTCGGTTGGGGAAGAAGAAAAGGTTTTGGGGATGGAAGGTGGTGATGTTACATGCACAACAATGCACAGAACTGGACACTTAAAAATAGTTAAAATGGTAAATTATAGGCTATGTGTATTTTATCACAAGTTTTTTAATGGCTGTGAAAGAACAATGCACAAAAAATGCAAATAGTGAATATATATTTGAAAAACAGTTCAAATTCAGCAATAATTTAAGAAATGCAAATTAAAGCCACTGCAAAATGTCATTTTTCACCTCTCCATTTAGCAGAGATCCTCGGAAATATGGACACTCAGTGCTGGCGAGGAGGCTCCCATACAGCAGGATGGGGATATAAATTGGTCCAACCTTTTATGAAAAGCCCAGGGCACACTCCTTTTGTTCTCTCCTTGATGGGGGACCTGAGAGTCCCTTCTCGTGTCATTTTCCTGACCTATTTCACTTGAAATGCCAGCCTAGGTCTCCCATGGCCCCTCTCCTCAAGGTTCCTGCCTCCCGCCACCTAAATCCAGCCCCCTCAAGCCACCGCCCAGCTGATGAAGGCAGCATCTAGAGGGCACAGACCCAAACGACCCTTCCCATACTGTGTCCATGGGCAGGGGTGGGGGCATAGGAGGAGGAGTCGACAGGACAATGGTTGTTCCAGAAGAATGATGAAACCAACCACAGGCAAAGCTTTTGTGCACAGGCTGTCTCACCCCATTCTTGCCAAATACAATGACCTGCCGAAAGGATGCAAGGAGAAGGGGGGATGTAGATGGACACGTGGGGGAGAAGTGGGGGAGCCAGAAGAGGAGCCAGGGAGGCAGCGACACCCCTAGTCACCAGGAATCTTCAACAAGAAAGAACAGGACAAAGCAAAGCCTTTTGCTGCCCCTGCTCTGAAAAATATACCTGGCAGGCACCAGGCAGAAGAGAGTAAGGAACGTCACTCATGAGCCCAGGATGGGCCCCAGACCCCTGCTCAGCGGCAGCAGGAGTCTGTTGGTGGTAGCCTGCTACAGAGGCCCGGAAGCCCCGGGGTCACAACCTTGGCCTGAGCAGGAGACACAGGGACAAGGGAGGAAGGGAGCCTCCCGAGGGAGCCTGCAGGGGGCAGGAGTGGAGCCCGGACTGCAGCAAAGTCTCGCCTCACAGCACTCATTTCTGCACTGGGCAAAGCCGAGTCCTCTGAACGTGAACCACTTCCCGATTTGGGGTCAGCATGAGAACGAGGCACAAGAGCCCGGCTGTTTTGTTCTGAGCCAGCTACCTCTCTGCCCCTGGCTTCCCGTCCTCTATCATCCTCCAACTGACTTGAGCTGCTTTCTTGCACTGTCCCTGAGAAACCCTGGCCTTCACCTACTCAATTGTTAACTTCAGACCCAGTAAGCAACAGAGGCGAGGCCTTCGATAGAAAATTTAGAAGGAAGATGGCAGAGCAGGTGAGCTCCCCGACCCCCGACCCCCCACCTCCCAGGAGGGGCATCTAGATCTTCGGGCAGAGCTTACCATGGCTGCTAACAGAATGTCCTGCAGTCAAAGGAAGTGTCGTTCAGTCCCCCTTAGGCCTCTGACACCTTCCCTCTGTCCAGTTCTTTGCCAAATTCAGTTGCCAAAAAACTTAATCTCCCTGAAACCCTCCAACCCTACCACCACAACCTCCTCTTCTCTACAAAGTCCTCAGTAAAACATTGATCTGGTGAAAGGAGCAAAAGACTTGGCCCCAGAGAAGAGAGTCTGCCAAACTGAGTATAGGAACAGCCCTTGACTCAGGATTGGCCCCTAGAAACAGGAGTTTTGAGGTCGTCCCCATCTCAGGGCCTGTGTAGGGGTCAGGATTTGGGGAATGTCGAGACCAGGGAGAGGGAGGAATGCTATGATGGGGTTGGGGATGGAGAACCAACCATTATGATACAATATAAAAGAGAGAAATATTAAGTTCTTAGGTTCAAAAGCCAATGCTAGGGTTGTCCTGTTTAGGCAGGAGTTCACATGTGACATTTAAGTTACTACTAAAGTACAATGTGGCCCTAGCCGGGTGGCTTCATTGGCTGAAACATTGTCCTGTACACCAAGATAGGCTCCGGGTTTGATTCCTGGTCAGGGCATGCATGGGAGGCAACCAACTGATGTTTCCCTTTCATATCAACGTTTTTCTCTCTCTCCCTCTCCCTCTCTCTCCCTTTCTCTCTGCCCCTCTCTTCCCCCCTTCCCCCACTACCCCCTCTCTCCCTTCCTTGTTCTCTAAAATCAATACAAACATATCCTTGGGTGAGCATTAAAAAAAAAGTACAATATGGCCACTCTATAAAAAAGGGACCACTCTTTTTTAAGAATACAGCATCCAGCCACAGTAATGGAGGTCTCAGGAAGTAGGGATCTGTGTTCTAAGCTGCTCAGACTTTTAGAATACTGTGTTTCATATGTGCTTATTTTAGGGGACTGTGTTTCATATGTGCTTATTTTAGGGGACTGACCGAAGACAAACTAGAATTTTCCTAGAAAGAGGATGAGGAGAGTGAGTAGGTCCGGGAACTCGAACACAAGGAAAGGTGAGAGGAGCTGTCGCAGACTGACAGGATGTCGCAGTGTTGAGGACTCGTAATTCAGTGCACCCCTAGTGTCATGCAAATATGTCTAGGGTCACACAGGTCAGCAGTAGAGACCTGGAGACTCATAGGCCATAACATTATGGGATTTGAGTGTTGGAAAAAACTCTACTTGAAGTCTGGCCTACTCCCATTTTATAGATGAGAAAACTGAGATCAGAGATTTTAAGTGAGTGACCTAGGCCACAAAGCTAGAGGCAGCACAGCCAGGACTGGAATCCAGCCCCTTCCTTACTCTAAAAGGTCCATCTAGTGACATTCTAGGGAGCTGTGAGTAGCAAAGGAAGCTGACATGTGCTGCCCTGGCTCAAAGGGCGACGCGAGAATCAGTCATGAGATGTGACTGAGGGGAGAGAAGGAGGATTTCTGTTCAGTCTCCGAAAAGATTTCCTCACCAGTCAAATCTGGCCAGGCCTGGCACCAGCTGCCCTGTGAGGCAATGAGCCCCGGTTCTCAGAGGGTCTTCAGAACAAGAAAGGGAGACTGATCGCCACCGATACTAACATTCCCTGATTCCCACAGAGAAAGGGGGTCCCACACACAAGATTGGGAGAAGAATGAAGCCACAGTTAGAATCAGGGTCACCGGCCGAGGGTGCTGAATTAGAAACGCAGCACAGGACAGTAGGAATAGGCCTCTGTTCCTGTGGCCACCTCTCCGCCAGGTTTAAGGGCTCCCAGCTTATCCTTAAGTAAAGACAGGCTCACTTAAGCAAAGACAAATTCTGAAGTCAGAGCCAGAAGCCAGGACCGATGTTGTTCTCGTGCTCAAGGAGGACTCAGCAAAGGTCATTACGGCTAACACTAGGCAGGACTCTCGCTGGGCACAATGAGGAGCTCCTTGAGCAGCAGGGTAATGAAACACTGTAACTGACCGCAACGGGAAGTTCACAGGCTCTGTCACTTGTCCCAAGGGCAAATCCAGCTGTCTGGCCTACAGGGCTCTGTTGCTCAGGTCACCACATTCTCCAGGCTGGGGACTTGACCAGATGGCATCCCAGGTCTTAGGTCTGCATTCCTAGACCTGTCCAGGAATTTTTTTCAGCCATGCCAGTGTCCCCAGGGTGCAAGGAAAACCATCTGCCATGCTGTAAGTCCCCCAGGCTCTGGCAGCATTTTTTCGCAGGTTTGCATTTTATGTTTCATACAGCAACCACGGCACATCTCCCTCCCTCCATCTTGCTAAGTTATCCTTGGCCACCAAACCCAATCAGCTCACTGGCTTCTCTCCAAGGTAGAAAGAGTTCCACTCTTGAGCTTCTTTCTCTGCCTAGTGAGACTAATTCATCATGTGTCCTGGAAAGTCCCTTTTAAGCCATGGCCAAAACTCTTTCTTTTCTTAAAGCCCAGATAAGCTGGGGAAAGAGATAGCTCACTGTTTTTGCAAGTTTCAGAGGTGAAAGTCACTGTCATTTAAGAAAATTTTTTTGGCAAAACGTCTAGAAATGATTCACGCTGAGAAGTCTGACTGGTTGAGTCAAATTCATTCACAGCCTAATAAATCATTTGCAAGGGAGATAGGGGAGGACCAAGAGACTCCAAAGAGGAAAAGCAGGGTGGGATCCCTAGGGTCGGATGCATTCTTGGCATTGCTGGTGCTACATAGGGGCTACAGCTCTTGCTGAAGGAGGATGGACATGGGGGTGAGTAAATAAATAATACACTTTGGATAGAGATTCAAAGAAACCTTGGCACAACCAGGACAGCAAACCACCACTTCCCCCTCCCCTATTTCTAAGGCTTCCAAGACAAACATCTCAATTAAGCAAAGGAGGTGGGGATTGTGGGGAAGACTGGAGAAGGAAAGGGAGTTTGTAGCAGGACCAGGAACATGGAAATTGCCTCTATGTGCTCTGTACAGAATGAAATGGTCCCATCACCGCTCACCCCACACCCCTCCTTGGAAGCCACTGACCTTTGCCAGGAAGGCGGCATTCCGGATGGCGCCCACCATTTCTGCCCCCTTTGGGTGCACCTTGGCCACGTGCATCCACATGCGCTCCCAGGTGTGGCTGTCGATGGGGAAGCCGCTCTTGTTAACGTGAAACAGCACCCCGCCGTCTTTGTCCTCCTCCTCTGAGCCCCCGCTGGTGGCTAGGCTCACCGGCCGCGCGTGGCTGCTCCGGGATCGGGTGCTTTTGGCGCCTTTGGGGTGGGGGCAGCGGTGAGTGCCCGCCGCAGAGCCAGTCATGGTGGGGCCGGGGCTGGGAGGGCGGGGCGGGGGTCTCGGTGCTGCGGCGGTGGGGGGCGTGTGCACGCCGGCGCGAGGGGATCAGTGTCCCGCGGAGGCCGCCTCCCCCATGCCTCTCGCTGCCGCAGGACGCGCCAAGGAGCAGCAGCAACCGGAGCTCGGCTTATGGGCCGTACCTGAAATCAGCGGATGCACACACAGCACACACCGCGGTAAGTGGACACCCGGAGAAACCGCGTCCAGCGGCGGTGGGGCCTCGAACTGTCCCCACGTCACTCTCGCCCCTCCACCCTCCCGCTGACAGACCCTCCAAGGATTTGAATGCGAGCTTCCAGCCCTGCAATTACCTCGAAAGGCGACTGGAATTTTGGCACAAAGCTTCACGCACACCTAAACAGCGGGAGGGAAATAAAGACGCGTGGAGGATGCGGAGTGGACGGGGTAGGGGGAAGAAAGGCAGCTCGTGCAGCGTGAAGGAACAGAAGGTCCCCGCAAGGCTCCACACATTGCTTGGTCGCCAGATGTGGCCGAGCGCCCGAGCAAGCCAAGAACGTGCCGGCACGTGAGCGCCCGGGGTCGGCGCGAGGGCGCAGCAGCAGCTTCAGCTTGCAAAGGCGGCGCATTTCTTCCAGGAAGCCCTCCCGGAGCCCCCAGGCGGCAGTGGAAATAGCTCCCGAGCCAGGCACCCGGGGGGGACCGGCTGCAGGTGGGATTCAGGAAGGGCACAAGCTCCAGGACCCTACCTCGGGACACTCGGCCTCATTGCTGCGGCGCCTCTCCGGGCAGCGGGGCAGGTGAAGGCGGCAGCTGCTGCTGCTGCTGCTGCTGCTGCTGCTGCTGCTGCTGGGCCTGGGGCTGGGGCTGCTGCTGCCGGCCCCTCATTCCATGTCCCATTCTCGAATGTTATTCTGTGACATATAATCGAGTCACCCGGGCAGCCTCCGATGTTCCGAATGCGTCCATTGGCCACCGCAACAAAGAGGGGCGGGTCCCGGGCTCGGAACTCTACAACCCAGAGTTCCACGACGCTCTGATTGGCTCCTTGGTTCCCGGGTGGGAGGGGAGGGGAGTAGGGGGAGCTGCGCGGCCCCGGGAAATCCGATCGCTGTCATGTCCGGGGCTGGAACGTTTGTCCAAGGGACTAAGACCGAGTTTCCCCAGGGGTCCTGGCACTGCCAGGGTTTGCAACTGTGGGGAGCAGAGAGGTCAAGTCACCTGAGAAGTGACCCTGAAGTAGAGGAGGACTTGTCAAAACATCCTCCTCGCAGGAGGGCTGGACGCAGCCACCTGCCTCATCAGCGGGTGATGGATGGTTCAAGCAGGGGCTGTCCACACGAAGGCACAAAACTAAATCTCTTTTTAATCCCACATTACGAATTCCCCCAAACAAACAAGGGGGCACAGTCATGTACTCTCTGACTTCAGTTGTGATTGATAAAGTCCTTTTGAACCCAAGCTGATAGGCAACACTGAAACCCATGTCGTCCTCCAGGCCCGACTGCTCTGTCACAGCCTCAGAGTTAGAGGAAGGGATGAAGAGATGCTTCAAGGGCATGGTGAAGTGGGAGGCCCTTCCACGCTCTCCATGGGAACATCTTTTCCTTGAAGGCCTCTTTGTTTCCTTTAACGAAGGAGGAGAGCAAGGTGAGGTGGGAAGACCTGAGGGCTGGCTGTAAGTCCACAGTCGTCACTTGGCTAAGCTGTGTGACCCAGGACAAGACACTTGCTATTCTGGGCTTTAGCCTCTCTTTCTGGAAAGAGGAGAGCAAACCCTCTGTTCCAGCTCTGAGATTCTGTGATTTTCTGACTTCCTCTCTTGTGGGCATTTAGAAACCTGGCTCTAATATCCTTTCTCTTTAAACTCCAAGCCAGCTTCGAGAGGTAAAGCAGTTGTGATAGCAATGCTAAGGTAACCTAGAATAAGAATGCAGTTGCCACAGAGCCCCTGATGATAGATCTGTTTCTGGAACGCCTCTTCTAGGGGAAGCTGTGGTGAGGAGCCAGCACCAGCAAAGGCTGCTGGAGTTCCCCTGAAAGCCAGGATTTGGGTGAGGACACTGGGACCCTGGAGCAACTTTGCACGACTGCAGACAGAGCCCATGCCTAGGACTTTAAGGATTCAATAATGAGAATAATAACTTAGGTCCAAAAACACAAAGGGAACAGGCTCATGCTAGAAATTAACTAATTTAAGGGGAACAAGCACACCTGAAAACCATCAAGAACTGGGGAACAAGTATATCCTCTCAACATATACTGGCCTCAGTTTTCATTTCCCGATTAAAAGAAAACCTGCCTCAGCGAACAATCTATTTTCTCATCTCAAACATCCGTCCTTCCTTTTTTCTCACCCATCTCTCAGATCTGTCCTTTTCTCCACACTTCCCTGGAGTTTCAAGTCCAGGAGACTAGGATTTCAGGATGAAGACCTGCCTCCCACTCCCTCAGGAGAAAACTGAGCTCTCGTAGCTCAAGTGATCAGACCAGTTGGTGAACATCGAAGAATGTCTGGCAAGTGTCACCTTCCCTGGCGTCAGTTCCCAGTGTCTGCACTCAGGCCAAGTCCAAACAACTACAATTCCCCTGTTAAACCAAGACCTGGATCCTGCTTCGCCTGAATCAACATCCTAGGGACCGGAGAGGGTTATCAGTTCATCTTCCTGACCCAGGCACATCAGGAGTCCCTGCAGTTCAATGAAAAGCTTTTGTTTTCATCTTCAGTGTCCCAGTGGTCCCTCCTCCTGTTTCCCTGGGGTTGGGGTGCAGTGGGAAGCCCATGAAGAGGACTGAGAGTTAGCTACTTTTCTCAAAAGATGGGTAAGAAGGCTTCTGAAGTAAACTGCACTGTCCCAGTGAGTGTGGCCGAAGAGCACCTTTGCTCAGAATGCTTTTGCACTTGAGATAGTGGCATGGACCAGCGAACTCCGTTCTTTTTTTTCCTTGTGCATTGTGTGTTACATCAGTCTCTAATGAACCCACACCTGACAGATTCTGGGTTTTGAAAATTCAGGTCATGCCCTGGCTGGTGTGGTTCAGTGGTTAGAGCATCAGCCCAGAGACCCAAGGGGTGTGGGATTCCATTCCCAATCAAGGGCACGTGCCTGGGTTGCAGGTGCCATCCTTCGCCCCGATTGGGCCTCTTTGGGTAGGCAACCAATGAATGTGTCTCTCTCATATGGGTGTTTCTCTCTCTCTCCCTCCCTCCATTTTACTCTCTCTCAAAAAAAAAAAAAAAAACAGTGGAAAAAATATCCTCGGGTAAGGATTAACAAAAAATAAACAAAAATAAAGCCAGAAGGTTTAGGTCACTTAGTAAGAGTGACGTAGTGGGGGCAGGGCCAACTTGTGATTTGAGCAGGGACACCTGGTAACTACTTGCACAGCCTCTGAGAGCATAGCCACTTCTATTCATTGGCATAGTGACCAGCACAGCAGAAATGTGTAGTGGGAAGGCTTGGACAAGAAAGACTGGGTTTAAATAGCATCTCAGTATTCAGTGCCAGCTGCTGGGGTCTCAAAGGTAAATAAGACAATATCCTAAACTGATGATCATTATTCTAGCCCCACCACTTGTTGATGTTAATAACCTATTAATGAGTATCAGACACATCTTATGTCACTCTTCTCATTGGCTAGACCTTGCCTTTCTGCTGGCTCCGCGGCTGCCTCCACAGCCAATTAAATCTGTGCAGTTCGGCCGCTGGGAACTGACTAGTCACTGGCCCAGCCAAGTCCCTCTTGGCCGCTGCACAGCCAGGCTGGCCAGCTACATGTCTGGAGTCTCTGACTTCTCCACTACTTCTGGACTCAGAGGAAATGCCACACTACAGGATGTGGCTTCTAAGCAGCCATAAAAGAGGCTTGATGATGCATCCTAGGACATTCCCTGTGGGCAGCATTTTGACCAGTGAGAAACAGGAGATGGGAGGGAGCTGGGCAGATGCATCTCTTCCATTCCTCCCTCCTATGGACTGTTCCGAGTTATGATTTCCCAACACAGCCTGCCTGGATATGTCCTGCGTGGCTACTGAGACACACCTACAGAGTGACCTGCCATGGCTCTTTGCACCTGGTCCTGAAGCAGCTACCTGCAGGTAACACACCACCTTGCATTGCTTCTCATCCTCACCTATTTCGTGTCCATTTTCTCTCACTCTTGCTGCCTCCTCAATCAGATGTAATGTGTGCTTCATATTTCTGTCTCCTAGGGAAACAGCTCAGGCAATTGGTTCCACCCGCGGTTCTAGGATGGATTTGGGGGTTGTATTGCCTACCTGTCTGAAATCAAGAGAGACCCCTTTGCTGGTGGTAAGAGCACCACAACTTTCAATAGGGGTGCACTGGGGGGAGAGCAAGACATTGAGAGATCAAGTAGCTGTGACACTCAACCTATTTGGAAATGATGATAATTATAAGGTACCAGAGACCTTGGAAACAGACCATGACAGGCTCAGGGCAGTTAATGACCAACTCATGGAATGCTCTGGAAGCCAGAGCGCCTCTTGTGGAAACTTTGAGAGCCTTATTTCCTGCTGTCATAGGACAGCCTTAAAATCAAGCCCAGGACCCGATCACAGGGCAGCAGAACTGCACAGGATACTAGACACATGGCCTTCACAGGCTAACATGGCGAATTCAGAGTGGGACCCTGACACTGGAGCAGGGGTGTCTCAGTGGATGAGCATCTTGACTCTTCAAACCCTCTGAACAGTCCTGCCCAAAGACGACCCCGTCCTCACAGCGCAGTGTCCTCACGGTCTGGCCCCACCTTTATTGCCTCCACCAATAGCCTGGTCAAGGGGTAGCCCAGCCACAGCCCACGCTGGGAGGAACAAGTCCTGCTCCAGCGAGGAAAACATACCTGCCAAAGATCTTTGCAGAACTTGGCCACTGTGTCCTGGCAGGAACTGTGTGTGGGAGTGGATCTTGAAGATGTCATATTTGGGCGTAGGAGTGAAGCAAAAAGCTCAATGTGGAGAACTCACTAATTTGGGGATACTCATACAGAACTTAGGATCCAGTGTTTTAACCAGGAAGCCTGGAGCTCGTCCTAGGGGTTTACCGGGATGGCTCTTTGAAGCCTGGTCTCAACAATGGCCTATAATAAGCCAAGTGAAGAAGCCAGACGTCCTTGTGTGGTGTTGAGGGAGACATTAGAAGACTCAGGAAGGTGGAAATATTAGAATTTATTATATATGGCTCGAGAACTAATCACCTGGCTAGTTCCCGGGCTAGTCCAGAGGACACTCCCTTCACTAAGGCAATAAAGAATGCACTAGCCCTGGCCAGTTTGGCTCAGCGGTTAGAGCGTCGGCCTGCGGTCCGGAGAGACCCGGGTTCGGTTCCCGCTAAGGGCACGTACTTCGGTTGCAGTTTGTCCCCAGCCCTGGTTGGTCGTGCGGGTGGCAGCCACTCGATGTGTCCCTTCACGTCGATGTTTCTCTCTCTGTCTCCCTTCCTCTCTCTCCCTCCCACTCTATCTGTACAAAAAATGGAAAAATATCCTCGGGTGAGGATAAAAAACAAAACAAAACAAAACAAAAGAATGCACTAGCCCTGGCCGGTTTGGCTCAGCAGTTAGAGCTTCGGCCTATGGACCAAAGAGTCTTGGGTTTGATTCCCAGTCAAGGGCACACACCTCAGTTGCGGGTTCAATCCCCAGTCCCGGTCAGGGTCATGCAGGAGGCAACCAATCAATGTGTCTCTCCCCCAGTGAAGTTTCTCTCTCTCTCCCCCCCTCCTACTCTATCTAAAAAAAAATCAATGGAAAAATATCCTCAGGTGAGGATTTGAAAAAAGAATGCACTAGTAAGAA